TCAATGTGGCATACTTCAAAATGATCGTGCTTTGATTCCCTAAAAATCTGTGTTTTCAGTTTATTTTTTTTTTTTTGGGTCGATTATTCGTCATTTTTATGATGTTACCCCTTTCCAAATTTTCAAAAAAATGGGTTTGCTGAAAAGGGTCCAAAAACTGCACTTCTAAGCCCATAACTTCTCTTACAGACACCAGATTTCAAAGTGGAATACTTCAAAATGATCGTGGTTTGATTCCCTAAAAATCTGTGTTTTCAGTTTATTTTTTTTTTTTTTTGGGTCGATTATTCGTCATTTTTATGATGTAACCCCTTTCCAAATTTTCAAAAAATGGGTTTGCTGAAAAGGGTCCAAAAACTGCACTTCTACTCTCATAACTTTTCTTACAGACACCCGATTTCAAAGTGGCATACTTCAAAATGATCGTGGTTTGATTCCCTAAAAATCTGTGTTTTTAGTTAAATTTTTTTTTTTTGGGTCGAATATTCGTCGTTTTTATGATGTTACCCCTTTCCAAATTTTAAAAAATGGGTTTGCTGAAAAGGGTCCAAAAACTGCACTTCTACTCTCATAACTTTTCTTACAGACACCCGATTTCAAAGTGCCATACTTCAAAATGATCGTGGTTTGATTCCCTAAAAATCTGTGTTTTTAGTTTAATTTTTTTTTTTTTGGTCGATTATTCGTCATTTTTATGATGTTACCCCTTTCCAAATTTTCAAAAAATGGGTTTGCTGAAAAGGGTCTAAAAACTGCACTTCTAAGCCCATAACTTTTCTTACAGACACCCGATTTCAAAGTGCCATACTTCAAAATGATCGTGGTTTGATTCCCTAAAAATCTGTGTTTTTAGTTAAATTTTTTTTTTTTGGGTCGAATATTCGTCGTTTTTATGATGTTACCCCTTTCCAAATTTTAAAAAATGGGTTTGCTGAAAATGGTCCAAAAACTGCACTTCTACTCTCATAACTTTTCTTACAGACACCCGATTTCAAAGTGGCATACTTCAAAATGATCGTGGTTTGATTCCCTAAAAATCTGTGTTTTTAGTTAAATTTTTTTTTTTGGGTCGAATATTCGTCGTTTTTATGATGTTACCCCTTTCCAAATTTTCAAAAAATGGGTTTGCTGAAAAGGGTCCAAAAACTGCACTTCTAAGCCTATAACTTTTCTTACAGACACCCGATTTCAATGTGGCATACTTCAAAATGATCGTGGTTTGATTCCCTAAAAATCTGTGTTTTTAGTTATTTTTTTTTTTTGGGTCGAATATTCGTCGTTTTTATGATGTTACCCCTTTCCAAATTTTCAAAAAATGGGTTTGCTGAAAAGCGTCTAAAAACTGCACTTCTAAGCCTATAACTTTTCTTACAGACACCCGATTTCAATGTGGCATACTTCAAAATGATCGTGGTTTGATTCCCTAAAAATCTGTGTTTTTAGTTTTTTTTTTTTTGGGTCGAATATTCGTCGTTTTTATGATGTTACCCCTTTCCAAATTTTCAAAAAATGGGTTTGCTGAAAAGGGTCCAAAAACTGCACTTCTAAGCCCATAACTTTTCTTACAGACACCAGATTTTAAAGTGCCATACTTCAAAATGATCGTGGTTTGATTCCCTAAAAGTCTGTGTTTTTAGTTTATTTTTTTTTTTTTGGGTCGATTATTTGTCATTTTTATGATGTTACCCCTTTCCAAATTTTCAAAAAATGGGTTTGCTGAAAAGGGTCCAAAAACTGCACTTCTACTCTCATAACTTTTCTTACAGATACCCGATTTCAAAGTGGCATACTTCAAAATGATCGTGGTTTGATTCCCTAAAAATCTGTGTTTTCAGTTTATTTTTTTTTTTTTGGGTCGATTATTCGTCATTTTTATGATGTTACCCCTTTCCAAATTTTCAAAAAATGGGTTTGCTGAAAAGGGTCCAAAAACTGCACTTCTACTCTCATAACTTTTCTTACAGACACCCGATTTCAAAGTGGCATACTTCAAAATGATCGTGGTTTGATTCCCTAAAAATCTGTGTTTTCAGTTTAATTTTTTTTTTTTGGGTCGATTATTCGTCATTTTTATGATGTTACCCCTTTCCAAATTTTCAAAAAATGGGTTTGCTGAAAAGGGTCCAAAAACTGCACTTCTACTCTCATAACTTTTCTTACAGACACCCGATTTCAAAGTGGCATACTTCAAAATGATCGGGGTTTGATTCCCTAAAAATCTGTGTTTTCAGTTTATTTTTTTTTTTTTTTGGGTCGATTATTCGTCATTTTTATGATGTTACCCCTTTCCAAATTTTCAAAAAATGAGTTTGCTGAAAAGGGTCTAAAAACTGCACATCTAAGCCTATAACTTTTCTTACAGACACCCGATTTCAATGTGGCATACTTCAAAATGATCGTGGTTTGATTCCCTAAAAATCTGTGTTTTCAGTTTATTTTTTTTTTTTTGCGTCGAATATTCGTCGTTTTTATGATGTTACCCCTTTCCAAATTTTAAAAAATGGGTTTGCTGAAAATGGTCCAAAAACTGCACTTCTACTCTCATAACTTTTCTTACAGACACCCGATTTCAAAGTGGCATACTTCAAAATGATCGTGGTTTGATTCCCTAAAAATCTGTGTTTTTAGTTAAATTTTTTTTTTTGGGTCGAATATTCGTCGTTTTTATGATGTTACCCCTTTCCAAATTTTCAAAAAAATGGGTTTGCTGAAAAGGGTCCAAAAACTGCACTTCTACTCTCATAACTTTTCTTACAGACACCCGATTTCAAAGTGGCATACTTCAAAATGATCGCGGTTTGATTCCCTAAAAAACTGTGTTTTTAGTTTAATTTTTTTTTTTTGGTCGATTATTCGTCATTTTCATGATGTTACCCCTTTCCAAATTTTCAAAAAATGGCTTTGCAGAAAGTGTCCCAAATCTGCCAAAGTTTTCTTTATTTCTTGTTTAATAATAACTTAAAAAGTAATAAGAAACATGAAAAAAAGGAATTTAAAAATTCATTGGTAAAGTATGTTTTTATAAATCCTTTGTGGCGCCGCTTTTGTTTTAACACCAGCTATTTCGATCCGCTCTTTTAAGCATTTTTTATGTGGCTCCCAACTGAGCTCGCATTTCACGCCTTCCTGCGACCTTCTGCAATCAATTAAGTCTTTGATTAATAAGCATAAAACTTTTGATTTGCTACGCTTTTAATTGAATTCAGTGGGGTGTTTTTTGGTTGGGGAAGTTCACTGTTAAATACCCTGTTTATTATTTGATTTTAATTCGCTTTTCACTGTAGCAAAACGAAAGACTTAGGCGACGAACTTTATTTTTAAACAGAGCCATGACTAAAAAGCTTGAGATGACTTTGTTGGGCCTGTCCTTCCTTTTTTTTTTAGCACAGCGGTGGTTCAGTTTAAACTAGAAACGAGATGGCGCCTTCAATTAAGATCAAAAACTCAGCCAGTCGCTGATGAAGCTGCAAAACGGCGGCCGATGATTATTTTTTCTTTTTGGCCAGCGTAATTATGAAACCGCAGGATATTCAAATTGAAAATGCAAATCCCAAAATCCCCAACCGAAAACTCATGCGAAACGGAAGCCACAAATGGCAGCGTGAAATTAAAGGGCGTCTAACGTGAAATTAGCATCTCGTTTGGTTCAGCGGATTTATGGCATTTGAATAAGTCAAATTATAGGGCCCCACCGACTTTTATCTCAATATTTGTTTTAGCCGAAAACGAAGGAGGGAAATTTCTATAATTTGCATGGACTGCTGCTGCGGTTTGGCTTTATTTTTTGGCTATGTAAATCATGCGGCCTTAACCGCAAATTAGCCACACGTACGATACTCTCGCTTCTCGTTTCTCGTTAAGCCGACTGCCTTAATGTCGACCAATAAATATCAGACAGTCTGGCGTGTTAATAGAGCAAGTGTTGTTTTGCTCACTTTTGGCGTTAAGTGTTTCACACAGGAGGCTTTTTCCTCGTATGTGCATCCATGTCCGTCCGTAATCACTAAGTAAATAAATGTTGCCTGCTCCTTATTCCTCTGTTTGTTTTTCGAAAGTTGGACAAAATGCCACGCCCCCGAAACTGGGGCATAAATCATCGCCTGGATGTGGGGTGATGTGAATAATCGCAGCTGCACGGTAAAAAAAAAACAAATATAATGTTCATGTTCCTCTTCGTTTTGATGTTCGGATATTATCAAAAATAATTGAACTTCACAACTTTTTCACATCTAGCTTTTCTTCCTCAGATCGAAAAAATAAAGTTTGAAAAAATTAATAACAAGCCCTAATAGAGCATCTTTCTCCATTTCAAAGCTTATGTTTCAATACAATTTTCTTTATTTTATATCAAATTGGTATTATTTAACAACAATCCTTGACATATTTAATCTAAATTTCTGATCAAAAATGGTGTGTCAAATTATCAGATTAATCAGCATACCATAAGAATTGTATTTTTCTGCGTGCTTTGATTTCTTCAAGCCGCAAGATCCCGGAGTGTAAAGACACACTTGTAATTATGTGCAAAATCCTTACAGTTTTCAGGGCCTTCAAAAAATGGGTATTTGCATGCAAAGAAAAGATTGGAAACGCGTTCGTCTCACTATTTTGTTCAGCCCCAAAAGTATGCAAGCTTTTATAAGTAAAATAATAGAATCCTGAAAATCATCTGAACAAAATCTTAAATTTTTTTACTGCCTAAAAGTATGCACCAATAAATATTTTTAAGTCAGACGACAAAAGCATTTCGTTAATATTGTTGTTTTGTATTACACAAAAGAAACACCTGAATACCCATAAATAAAATCGAAGTAAAAAAAGAATTATCATTAACAAATAAAATTAAGAAAGTTTTTGAGATCCTGCATACTTACCTTTCACTTTTCATTTCTTCCCATAAGTTCAAAAGAGACACACTACTAATGTTTACACAAACAAATTGTTTTATTTCTTGCTTAAAATACAAAACTAGGTGAAATTCTTGATTTGCCACTGGGGAATACATCGTGTTTTTTTTATATAATAATTTTTTACCGCTGTTGCCCTGTGTTGATGGTTTGTCCTTCATGAGTGTGTTTTTTTTTTGAGTGTCTTTAAATATTCTATCCAACAAGCGAGTGAGTGAGAAGATACCCGTGTACCACTGGTGGGTTAACATTAACCCTGATGCTGGTGGTGCCACCATCCAGATTGGCGGGCATTCACATAGGTCTTGAGGCCATCCTGTGGCCCGGCTTGACCGGGTTGATGGGTGGGAAACAGATGGGGACCGCTGGTCTCGTAATTGATGCCATTGTGCTGGTTGAAAATGTACGCCTTGGGCACCTCAACTCCGGCGGGGCCCACTGTGTTGGTGGAAACACTGATGCTGGAGACCACATTCCCCGGATTGGCGGGCAAATAAGTGCGACTTGGCGGCGGCGGCGAGGAAACCCAGCTCGTCTGTGGTTTTTGCGGCAGAACAGGACGATATTGCTTGGTATACAATGGCGGACCAATGGGCAATGCGGCCTGTTTGGGTATGGACACCGTATTCGGTGGTCCATAGGCATTGTTCCTCAAATCGCACACCGTATTCTCAATTAACGTGGCCAAGGGAGCGGTGTAAATCCGGAAATTGGTATCTGCATAGTCCAGATCGGAGAGCAGGAACACGGGCATCCGATCCGACAGAACCCAGACATTCTTGTTCTCATCAATCTTCACATCGGCCGGGAACACCAAGCCCACATCATCGCGATCCACGATGCCGTGGAATTGCGGAGTGTAGGGCATCGATGAGTGCCAGCAGCCCACTGCATTCTGATCGATCAGATTGAACAGCTCCACACCATCGTCGCTCATCACCCGCGAAGTGGTGTGGGCATTCGGACCACGTTCATCCAGGGCCACGAAGTCGTGGTAGCTATCCTCCGTCCTGGTCTCGTCCCTCAGAATCCTGGTGGAGACGGCAAACTGGCGATGGCTGGCCAACGGACTGAAGTACAGGGTGCGATAGCCATCCGATCGAATCGGCGACAGGGACATTCCGAAGATGCCCTCCTCGCCCCATTGGAAGTTGATCCCGGCCACATTGAAATCGCCCCTCAAGGGATCCGGGAAGAAGTACGAGTGGGCCGAGAATCTCCAGGACTTGTTCAGTTCCCAGGAGTAGGCAATCAAGCCATAGCCCAATTCATCCGCAAAGTAGGCATACGCATCATCGCAGTTCTTGCCAATATCCACCGCAATATTGGCTATAAACGTGTTCGGATTGGTGTCCACACCCGGAAGTTCGTACCTCCGGATCCGCGTGTCCGTGGTCAAGTCGAAGACATTCACGGCATACGGACAGGGATTGGTGGTCGTATTGCCAATGCCCACGGTGCCGGTGTCCAGAACCCACAGACGTCCGCACTCGTCCACTTTGATGCGATACGCGGTGGTGATGCTGTTGGCGCAATCTCCGGCCGTATTCGAACGCCAATCCGGATACGGAATCAGTTCCGGCGAGCCCGTCAAACTGCGATCCATGTTTATGTATGTCAGAGTGGCGGGAATTCCTGCAAAAAAAAGAGAAGATCAGGGATTGTAAAATTTGCAGAAATTCGATTGTATAGCTAATAGACCATCAGTCGATTCAATGTGTATTTACTGTGTAAGGAATTATATTAACTATTAACCCAAACTATCAATGTTAAAAAGCAAATACACAACGGAATATTTGTATATTATTTTCTTGTACTGAAAAAGTTACTTCTTAAATTTCTCGCATGTCCTTTGACTCAATTTATATAATTTTTCTATAATTTATATTTATTATGTGCTGCTGACATAACTAATTTTTATGTTTATTATTTCTGATGTGTTTAAATTGCCCAGTTAGGTCTTTGTTACCATTTCGTTATTATTTCACAATAAAAAAAAAAAAAGTTACTTAAATTTTATTAATCAGCTTGCAAAATCCCCTGTCCGCAAGATAATTAAGTTAAAATGATAATGTATTCAATTATCCATATTTCTTTCCTAAAAACAGCCAATAAAAGTCTTTAAACTCGGCGTCTTGAGAATGTTAAAGAAATCATAAAGGTGTTGGCGGCCATAAATTAAGTGCACAACTTCGTCATAATTTTCGACACACGGAACTGGAAATAAAAAATCATTACGCTGCGCTAACGACACTTTTAATTTCTGGAATTGTACAATTTCTGGAAGTTCTTCGTTTGGTGGGGCTCCACCGCTCAAATAAACTTGAGTCATATGAATTGGCTCATGTTTGTGGCACTGTTGCAGTTGCGTGCAATTTCCGATGTCATTAGCGGGAAAACTGAAGCAACTCGCTCTGACATCATCATCAATATATATGCGATGTATTAGTGATAAATATACAAGATATATATGATATATATGTAGGACTAGCGCCATCGGCAGTGTCTCGAGTGATTTCCGCTCCAGTTGCTTCTCTTCTATATCTCTTGGTTAATTGCACTGCCAACCATTTCTGGTTTCTGCTTTTCCTTTAGCCTTTTATTTATTCAATTAGTGGGCAAGCGACATTGCCACGCCCCCTTGTGGACTATTACCCGCCCCATTCGATCCGCCCATTTATCAGCAATTAAGCGATATAGCTGACAGCGATTTTTCCGCCCCATCAACTCCTTTTATTCGTGTGTTAACAAATTAAGTTGTAGGATTTGGATAGTGAAAAATTGGGTAAAGTTAAGGAAATTTTTTCTTTTAATTTATAAAAAACATTTTTAGCCTAACTTATACATTTTAATAGAATAATGACATACTTCAAATTAACCATATTTATTTATTTCTAATTAACCTTTATTTAAGCCCATATAATCTTTGATATCCTAACATCTCACTTTGGTTTTATTTAGAAAATTTAACAATAAAATAAATAAACATTTTTTAACCTCAAGGAATTTAGCTTAGTTTAAAACATTTAAGCAGCAGATTTAAACGGACAATATGTAAATTAATTTTATTTATTTATTTCATCCACTGAATATTTGGAATCCCAAACATTTTGTTCTTGTTTTTTGTTGGCCTGCAACTTTGTATGCTTGATTTGTAAATCAGATTTCAAGTCTCCGCCCTCTGAAAGTTGCGATCTCATTTGCGATTGAGATAAAGCTGCGTCTTGGATTGGGCCACACATATCGAGTGGCTAATGCGTCCACTCGGTGGCTCAGTGGCTCAAGTGGCTCAGTGGCTCAAGTGGCTAAATGGCCGGTGGTTGGTGGTTCAATAGCTGGTGGCCAAATGGATCTGTATGAAACACGAGCTGTTGAGTCGTTATCCGGCCAATTATTGCTGGCAGTTCTCGGTTTTAGCTTCGGTCTTTCGATCGCATTCTCATTTCAGTTTTAATTTACGATTTCTCAGACTCCATTTCAATTTGTAATCCTGTCGCACAGTTCATTACTTATGTGGGAACACACAATGTACGAGAAAAACTGAATGCAATATCTGTCTGTTTATTTTGTGATCGAAACTGATTTACACAATGCTTCAGCGAGGCTATTATCTAATGGATTCGGATTTGCATTGCCCGCCCAAATAGGACCCATTAATCAATACTCATAAACTGCCACCGCCGATTTACTCTGACTAATTGATTTGCTTCGATGGCCACTGAAGCGTGCCTCAAAATATTCCACTTTGCCACAACTTTCACGTACTTTTGTTTGCTTTAATTCGGTCTTTACTTTTTGCCGATTCGGCCTTCTGGGTTTTTATTTCTTTGAGATAGGCATTCGAAATTATAGACCACAAGGTTGGGTCGGAGTCTCAGGATATACGTTTAAAAAACTCATAACTAATATTTTATTTTGTTATTTAATATTTTACAATATTAAAAAATTGACAAATTCCAAACGAACAGTTAACGTTCTTTTGAAATTTTGTATCTTTTCAAACCCACAGTGCAAATACACTTATTAGTGTCTTTTTTTTTGTGAAATATTAGTTTCGGTCATTTTGCAAACTCTCCAAACAAAAAAAACCTTTGCTAATTTGTGTGTGAAATAGCCTGTAAGCCGCAAAACAATGACTTTATATTTAGACTTTGTGCAACTCTCACTTCGATTCAACTAAAAGCTAATCATTGGTTGAGGGCATAATGCCATAATAAGTTATTGTTGTGATTGGATTTCCATTTCCATTTTTGTGTAGCGACCCTGAAGAAGCCTTCACAATTCGGATGGTCATATAATACCATACCATACTTTATACCTTATAATGCCAATGCCGCGCTATTGGCTTCGATTTTACAACGGTTAATTGTTTAAAGCTTTCAAATGTAAATGCAGCACGCAAGTATCAAACAGCAAACAAAAGACTGCCCAAAATTTTTGTCACTTTTCTGTAATTATTCGTTACAATTCTATTGCAGCCGGAAGTGGAGAATCGCTTTAGTCTTAAGCATATATTTTTTTTAGTTTTTGAAATTATTAAAATATTCAAATCTAAGCCAAAATTTAGCCACTTTGAAAATTCATTATGGTTTGATTTAGCAGTATCTAAACTTTATCCAGATTTAAATATTATCCCTAAAAAAATTCTGCACTTATCAATTACTTTTTAGAAAAGTAGAAATATAAGCATCTCTGCACTGGTTAAGATATCAAAGTAAAATACATTTGTTTATAAAGCCTTTTAAATTTCCCAACTTGCGAACTAATTTGCACTTGTTTTACAACCCAAATTGGTACTTTACTGACCAATATCAATAATATTAAAACTATGCCAAAATTTACCCACTTTGAAAATGAATTAATTAATTCAGCAGTATCTAAACTTTATCCAGATTTAAATTATATATCAAGTTCTTTTTAGAAAAGAAGAAAAAAAGGCATCTCTGCACTGGTTAAGCTATCAAAGTAAGATACATTTGTTTATAAAGCCTTTTAAATCTCCCAACTTGCGTACTAATTTGCACTTGTTTTGCCACCCAAATTGGTCACTAAAACCATGTTCGAACTGTCAACCGTTAGCAATTCCACAAATGCTCGGATTCCACGCCCAATTCGTAAGTGCTAATGATGCCCAAAAGGAGGTGGACTGGCTTGCAATCTGCATGCAATGGGAGATGGCCATAAGGAGATGGGATCCCTAACTCACCATCTCGCCAGCGGGGAACGGTGACGAACAGCCGGTTGCCAAAGTGCTCCACTCCGACGGGAAGACCATTCTGGGGGATGTAGTCGCCACTGGCCAGAGCCTGCTCCTTCAGTCGGGCATTCGGGAAGGCGAAGTCCAGTTGGTTCCAGCTGTACCGCTCCTGCAGCTTGTAGGCCGCCCAGAGGGGAGACGCCCACAAGGTGAGCAGCGTCACCAGGATCAATCCCTTATCCTGCAACATGGCACTGAACACACCAAAACACTTAAGCCAAAATGGGTTGGCAAACAATAAAAAAAAAATAAAATAGAGTCTGGTGTTCTTTGGGTTCTACTCGGGGGTAGAAGTATTGGTAGTAGTCTGGGTCTCGAAGATATTGTTTTAATCCTCTTCTGTGGACCGTGGCGCGCTTACGACTGTTGGCCATAATATGTCGGCCACGTTTTATATGAGTTTTTTTTCTCCGAAGACGAAGACAGGCCAATGGAAACGACAACGACAACGAAAACGAAGGCACCAACTTCGGATTACTCGAGCTTTTCGGTGGTGCTCGGTGGTTTTCAGTGGTTCGGCTATGTGGTACTCCACATGTTTCCCATGGATCGGCTCACTTTGAGCATTTTTGTGCGTGGCTTTTGTCTTCCATGATTGATTTTCACGCATGTTTATAGATTTAAGTATAGCGAACCCCTGAATTCGCTGAATCAACCAACACCTTTCGCTGGGCTTGCCATTTTCATACCCTTTTGAAAGGGAATCGCTAAACTTTCTGCATTAATCGGCATTTAAGATTGATTTATTTGCAACTAAATTAGAAACTAGAAACATAAGAATAATGACTAAATTTACTAAAGAAAACGTAGCATTTTTGGTTAAAACAAAATAATTGTTAAGGCCTAAGAGCATTAAATAAGTTATAAATTAAAAATTTAATAAGTTCCATTAAAAACTGAAAGCCGTCTAATGTGGTATAACAACTTGGTCTTTATTTATTTAAATTGAAATGGTTTTCTATAACGTTAATTGAATTGCACTTACTTATAACATAAGTAAATATATATTTATGAGAATATAAGTATGCCAGATACTAAAAGTTTAATGTAAATTGAATACGAATATATAGGGTATTCAAACAGGTATTTCCTAAACAGCTTTTCATACGAATTACTTGAGCTGGTTTCAATTGAATTGCTTAAGCTTGGGCTTTGATTGGGCAGTATCGATGATTCACAATTCACCGAGGGTCAAACATTTGGTTTTCGCTAATTATGGGCAGGTGATTTTTAGCAAATGAGCATATACATATGTATATCTCCGACTTCGGAGTTACATAAGGAATCCGAAATTGAGGAAGTGCGTTTGGTAAATCCACCAGACACCACCAGTCTGTAGTTTGCAATGTTGTGGTCCCTGTGGACCACCTGGATTTTTAGGGGCGCCCTAAGTGGGTAATGCTCTAATGGCCATCGCCGCAAGCGAATATGCAAAGTCTTTAAAATTCGGACCGAAGGCGTTCGCATAATAACTCGTTTGCTCCAAATGCACCGGGTCAGCAAATAAGAAAAATAGCTACGAAAAAGTAATAATGTGAATCAACTAGCCACACGCATGGTCCAAACTGAAACTAGTACTAAAGTGCTGATGAAGTACTTTGCATAAAACTTCAATCGCACAATCTACACTTGGCGTGCGAAAAAACCTTTCAAATAATCTTAAAAAATTAATGAAATGTTATTTGATGGTAAAAACTTCAGTACTTTATTTGGAGTTATTAAACAATAGTTTAAGAATATTTTTGGGGGATCATCTGCAAGTAATGTCAAAAAGTTAGGCTTTCCATATGCGAAAATATTAAAGAGCAATAAAAAAGGTAACAACAGCTGAAGGAATATTTCCAAAGGAACTTAAACCTTTTAAGAATTAAAAAAAATGTGTTTGTGTATTATTAATTAGCATTGCTGTAGGAACAAGTAATTTAAGGAATATTTTAGTAAGAATCCTCTAAATCCTACATTTTATTTTTGGCAATTCTTTTCACTGCTCTTGCGATGCATAATGTGTAGAATGTTGTTGTTTAGCCAGGCTACTTGGCCGCATTCTTACAATTGGCTCACCCACAGAAAAATAAATAAACATGCGGCAGACGGAAAAATATGCTTCACATATTTGCGGCTAATGCTGCCTGAATTTATTGCGATCGGCTTGACCATAAAAAGGCACGCTTAAAATGACCAGTGCGTTTTTATTAATTAATTGTGTGTGTTGCATAACGAAACCGTGTATCCAATGAAATGGCAATTAATGATGCGATCGGCAGCAGCCGTTGAACCTCTTATTTAAATCGAATTGACTCGTTTTCTCAGCAGTTTGTCGTGTGGGATGCGGTGTTTGTTTTGCCTTTGTTTTGGTTTGTTTTGGGTTACATTTTCAGTTTTTGTAAGTTTTCGCAGTTTTCAACGCTGCAGCGATGATTTATACGCTCTTTTCCCAATAATTGAAACGAGTTTCTTGCACCAGCGTACGAAGCAAAACAACATTAACAAGCAGCGCGCGCTAAGTGGCCAAAAAAAAAAAGTTAAGCGAAACGAAAATAGAAAAAATAAAAATGAAGAAAAATCGGATCTCTTTGGCATAATTGCCAACACTTATGCAACTTTGCTGGCAAACATTAGACGTTATTTACACACAGGATAAGTTTGAGTTGGGCGGAAAATAAAACCAATGCCGAATGACATTGCCCGGCCAGTGTTTCATGTTTTGTTTTCCTTTTTTCCCACTTATGGCAGCCTGCACTTTTCTCCCGCCAGTTTGCCAGTTTGGATTTTCATCTCGCATCGGCAAATGGAAAATGGTAAATGGAAAACCTGTTGCTTAACTGCTCTAACCTTAGCCACACAGCATTTTCCGTTCGGTCTCCGCTCAATGCTGTCCAGCGTTTTCAAGTTCAATGTCCATGGCCCTGACCGCCGGATCCCCTCCTTTTCCATCGGATTTATTTTGTCTTGGCCAAAATCGGACAGGCCGCAGTGATTTCCTGCTCACAGGGAACCATAGCAAATGTCCCGGTTTGACATGCACTGCGCTAAAATCGTTTCCTAAATAACTTAATATTTACAGATCCATTATTGACTGATTATAAATATCGCTATGGCTTTGAGTCTAGTAATATTTTGTAATCTATGAAGTAGTTTGTTTATTTAATCAAATAACACACAAAAAACAATGTTGAACTTTTTCACATATTATTTATTATCAAATCTGTTGTTAAAAACACTGAGGCTCTCTTTCAATTAAAAATAGTCAAGTTTTTCTTAAGTTGTAAACTGAGAACATATATTACTTTAGATTATTCCAAAAAAATGTTGTATAAAGACCACTGCTAAATAATTTATTTGAAATGTACAATATGTGTATTATTTGTATACTAAATGTTTAAACAAAAAACTCATTTGCATTATTTAATGGACAATATAAAAAAATGTTAATGCTTCAACGGGGAATTCTCCTAATCTATCCAAAGGAGGAAAATTAGATCTGTCCTTTTGTAAACTAAAGCTCCGAAAATGACATCTCAAAATGGAATAATTAGATGCCAGTAAAGGCTATGTATGTGCACTGCGTTAAACTGGGCGGATAAATGAACAGAGGTTGCCGTAATTTGATTTCTGTGAAAACTTGCACGAAACATTGCCTCAGGCATAATTTGCCTGCAATTGCGGTGCACTTGTCTCGTGCAATCAGCGGTCGAAAAAGCTTTAGCAGTGTAAATGCTTAGGAAGTGCACTATTCAGCGGTGTGCACTCACAATTTATGAGCTATTTATCTTAAGCCATCGCCGGCGGTTCCGTTTCTTATGGGTCTTTAAGCCACACAATATGGTAATCGGGGGATAATCAATTAATAAACGCCCGATCTCGTCAAGGCAAGCAATTTCATTGGTGACAGTCGGGAAAATATAAGTGTAAGCAAATGAGTTTGGATATATTTTGGATTAACATATCCAGTTGATCCAGTTGGGCAGTCCAAACATGTATAAACCATTATGCGTGACTTTCAATCCTCATAAAGAAGCACTTACTGAATCTAGGTTTACTGGCTTAACTAACATTTGATTTAGAGTGTTGAAAAGGCAAACGGGAATATGGGCCTTAAAAGTAAATACTTCCTGAATTAAGGATAATTGACCATTAAATAAATCAAAATGCTTATTTGAGGATTGTGAAATAGCTAATTTTGATAGCCTAAAAATTCAAATTTAAGTGTTGTTCAGCTAATCAAAAAGCTGAAAAGTATCAGGTGGAAACTTTAATTATATATACTTTCTAATCTCATTAAATAGTTATACTTCCCTAACTCAATACAAACACTTTACTAATTAAACTTTGTTTATTAATCGAATTTTAATATGATAATGTAAAACAATCCATTTTAAATTAAATGCAAACATAGTAACAATTGCGGAAAACTAGAACCACCATGGAGGAGGTGGTCGCACATAGTCTCCCACATTGAGATAATCCTGTTGAACGTCGGCGGGCAAAGTTTCATCCGATTCCGCATTTCCAATTAGAGATTCATCCGACTCCCGATTGACATCCTTATCATCCGAAGACTCAGCATTAATGAAGGAACTCATTATTGTGAGGATCAGCACCAGACCCAGGATAATTTGATGGAACAGCTTCATGCTTGAAATAACTTTCGGTTTAAGAGTAGAGAAAGTTATTCACTTCTGCTTTTTATAGTCTAATTTCCCAAAATCGGAACTAGAACCCAAGTGTTTTGCTGTGTGTTTTCCTGCCGGCATTGTTTGCCTTTTCACATAAAAAAAAACAAAAAACTAGGCTATATTTGCTTTTATATTTTTTTAGCACGAGAAATTGAGGTGGTCAGGGTTGGTTTTTTATCTCCCCATGTTTATCTGCTACTGAAATTGAGATGTGCGTGTTGTGTGTGTTTTTTTTCTTGTTTTGCCGGACTTACGTTTATTGATTTCCTGGTGAAATGCGGTTTTTTTTTGTTGTTACTGTCACTGTCGTTTTTGCTGCCAATTAACTTGGCTAAAGAGTTGCAATGCTGCAATGTTGCAACATTGAAAACGTCACCATCGCCATGTCGTCCACTGTCTAGTTTTGGCACTCGCCTCGCCGCAATTAGTTATCAATTAAAAACTATTTAAATCGCAACAGTTAAGCGACAGTTATTCGGCTTCCTCCTGCTTAATGGTATCATTAGCCAATTCAACACTCTTCTGGGCAGATAACTACGCTGGCACTTTCTCAAATAAAAACTTGACTGGGACTTTTTTGTGTATATTTGAGATATAATAATGTATATTGCTGTTGAAAACAATTAAACATTAAATAATTTGGGAATGCCTATTTCCTAATAATTAAGAAACTCAGTCAATGAGGTTCGCAAACTTTTATTTTATTAAAGTTTCAGGAACATTACTGATAAGGACATTTTCTATTTTTTAATGATATTTATTAAGGAACACAGTTTTCTGCAGCACATACTAACAAGTAGAATAACATCATGTTTGGATAGTTCCAATATTAGAAATTGGAATGTATGTAATTATGTAATTACTAATAACATCCGGAGTGGTCGAACTTGCTCAGGGTTAAACATCGATCCACTATTTACATATACTCCCCGCTGATTTTCCGTTTAATTAGTGTTATAGTTTTTATTTGATATTCTCTTTTTTTGGCAATGTGAAGGACTGAGTGCTGAAATCCAAATTGTGAGCCTCTAATTATGCATAAAAACTGTGCCTTTGCCTTAGCCAATTAAAAATCTAGCATTAGGCAGCAACAGCATATTATAATTATCAACTGAAGCTGAACCGGCCGAAGCCAACTAAATTTTTGTTTGAACAACTGCTGTTAAACGGAGTTCTAAGTGGGGTGATGTTTTTTCTGTGGAATAACCAGCTGGATGGGTAGGTTTTAGCCAAGCTAAACACCGACCTTGCGTTTGGCCACGCTCTGCTTCCTCGCCTTTTGACGACACGCCAGCCAGAAAGTGCACTGCACTGAGAAAAATTCAATAGACAGAACATAGAATAAAGACAGTAAGATTGTAATCATATGTATATATCGGTACAAGAAAAAAAGTTATGTACATCTTAGGGATTCGAACCTGGCCCTTTTTAATTTCAAATTAGCATATACTTAACATATAGCGTATACTTAACATATAGCGTATACTTAACATATAGCGTATACTTAACATATAGCGTATACTTAACATATAGCGTATACTTAACATATAATATATACTTAACATATAGCGTATACTTAACATATAGCGTATACATAACCGTATACTTAACATATAGCGTATACATAACATATAGCGTATACTTAACATATAGCGTATACTTAACATATAGCGTATACTTAACATATAGCGTATACTTAACATATATAGTATTATGTTACAAAATTCATATTCTTTTAGATTGTGGGGCAGTTTTATTTCTTTCTGTGTACTTACTCAGAAGTTGGCCAATATTTCAGATCGGAAATAAGTGTGGCCCACAACAACAAAAACGGTAAGTCAAGAGTTCCGCTTTGGCTTTTCGATTGCCTATTTTGGGGGCGATTACGCATACGCCCCGGTGTCAAGGCTAACTATGATTTGCTCCAAAAATGTATGTAGAGCCGCAATGAATGTATGTACTTCCACTATTGAATTCAATTGAATAGTGAAACGGGAAAGAAGGGTTTGGCTGATATGATCGAAGACGGGAGTATCCTGTAAAATAGTTTGATATTAATCTAGTTCTTTAAGAAACTACAATAAAAAAACCTATAAAAAAAATAACAGTATGTATCTTTACTGTTGAAATAGGTTCTGGTTTAAATAAGAAAGGCTAATAAAAAGTAATGCCCCATAAACTTTTTGTAACAGAGTATCAAAATTACCTGAAATAATTCGCAAATTGGCTACCAAAGTAAGTAAATATCTGCGTGACTGAGTGACCCACCACACCCCATTTTTTGGTTTTTAATTTTTATTTGCCCTCTGCGCACAAGGCTGAAACGGTTTCTACTCCGTTAGCGATACTCGATAGCCGAGCAGCAATGCATCCATCAATCACTCAATCAATGCTAACATTTCACTTTGCGATCAAGTCGACTCAAATCAAAGCAAACAAATTGAGCCACAAAGCACGGGACAAAACAGCCAATCATTTCCCAAGTTCCGATCGGAACCTGTTCGCTGTGGGTTAACTATATGGTGGAATGAATCAATGGGGTTTCCAAATCGTTAATCCAATACCTCCCTACACCCCTTGGGTTTTTCTCTAATTATGTTTGCACGAATCATTTAGGAAGAAGTTCGGCTTAAAAGCTCTTCGTTGGTAAACGTCTTGGATTGGCAACTAAAGCTCAGAAGCAAATGGGTTGTGCATAGGAATTAAAAGGTAAATTTGTTACAGGTAAAATTCATGGATAAAGCTTGATCAATTTGTAAACTTTACTCTTTATAAAAAAGACAGGTTTGTATTAGCTTGTATTAACATAAGTGTTATACAGATTTATATTTAATATACATCTGCATCAGCATAAATAAATGTTAGCTATTTAATAAAAAACTTGGGTATAGCTGGTATAAAAATTGTATTTGTTATGTCAACATCTGTTATAAAAATGTATATTAACTTTGATTTGATAAGATACCGCACTTAAAATATGGTCTATAAACTAATATTTATTTCATCTCAGTATCAGCACTTAATAAACAATAAAAAAACATATTTAATACTATAATTTAGGTCAAGTTATTTCCTGTTAAACCACCAGGGCGCCGGAGTGGGTAGATAGTCGTTCACATCGATGTAATCAGGATTGGGTGCGTTCTGGGCAGATGAAGTGGACGTAGGCCAAGCTCGTTTCTCACTCTTTTCGGGATCTGGCCAGGTCCTCCTTTGATTCCACCTCAATCTCTTGCCATTGGGACGCTGTTTAATTGTATCCACATTCGAGTTTTTAATACTTTCTTGTAGGCGCTGCCGTTCGTGCTCATTTATGGCTTCCAAAATAAGATTTAGCTGTCGATTGCCCTCCTCCAAAAGCTCTTCGGAATCCGGCCTTCCACTCTTAACTCCGGGTGAGAGGATAATCACCAGGATAACCACTGTGAATATAGGCCACCTACTCGACATAGTGCTGCACTCAATCTAAATTGATCTCAGCTATTTCTCCGCATATTTATACTCCACAAGCTAGCTACTTAAACAGATAAGATACATATATGTATATATTGCATCGATTATTCTTGACATCGTTTGGTTCTGTTTGGAGAGCCCCAACACGTTACGTAAGGCTGGGTAAATGTTTGGCCATACGTTACCAGAGATTAGAGTAATAAAACATCTAGACCGCATTTATAGATATCACTTGATCCCAAGATAGTTACGCACTATGTTCTTATAAGAAAAACATTTAATATTCTATTTTAAATGCTTCGAAACGTGCAAGTTTTTATATTATGAAGCTCTCTTTTGGCACATGATAAATCGAATATCACGAATACAGATTGAATATCCCATCAAAATCTCCATACCTCAAATAAGATCAACAATATTTAGCAATTTTCATGTTTTTCCTTTCGTTTTTATTCAATATATAATTAAAAGTCGTTTTTTGTTCATAATTGTATCTCAGAAAAAAAATATAATAATAAATGTATCTGCTATGCACGCGACGATTTCCGGATGCGTGCTCAGAGGAAAAGAGGGGGGCAAGGTCGGGGTATGCATACATATATATATATAGATATATGATATATATACACTTGACATTTTCTTCTTCTTCTTCCATTTTTCTTCTTTTTGTGCTTAGTGGTCTACGAGTGGCTTGGATCTCCTCGTTCTTCGACTCGCTCCGTGTATTCCGTTTGGGTGACTTTTTCTCTTGGCGCAGGGAGGGATCCTACTTACATGGTATATCCGCATTTATCAGTAGTAATTAGTGTAATATGTGTACAAAGCTAACGAGTCCTTGGGAGGAGGAGTTCGAGGAGGAGGAAACTTAAAGGACGTACATATATATCAAACAATTTGTTATCATCGCTTGTTTGGGTCATCATCCTGATCTTAGGAGTATGCAGCAGCGAATCGTGACGAGTATTCTATTCAGGATTCAATGGGGCGGATGGCGATGTGTGGATTGGGCTGGTTGGGATTAAATTGTGTATTGGATTGCGTGGCTTTACAGGATCGTTCCGGGCTTGCGGAGCGGCAGCCGACGACGCTGTCCCAGAAGTCCCAATCCACGGGCCTGCTGCTTGGTGGTTGCCTCCGTCGCCTCCGTGGTCTCCTTCTCCTGCTCCTGCTTCCCGGCTCCCTCTCCGGCGGACTCTTCGCTTCCTCCGGCGGACGCCTCCTCCTTGGCGGGCTGCTCCACGGAGGAGTCCGGCGACGAGTGCTCCTCCTCGGCGGGGGCTTCTGCAAAAGCAAATTGATTGTTTATTTATTCGGAGCTTAAGCTATTTGAGAATAGGAATAGTGGTAAATGTTTGTGATCTGCCCCTTATTTATAATTCCCATAAAATCCCCATTTGACTTATTGTTCTTAAATATCTATAATTTCTATAATCACCCCTTTCCAACTTCTCGAAAAATGGGCTTTGCAGAAAAATAGTCAAAAAACTGCACTTCTAAGCCCATAACTTTTCTTACAGACATCCGATTTCTAAATGGCATACTTTAAAATGATCGTGGTTTGATTCCCTAAAAATCTGCGTTTTTACTTTTTTTTTTTTTTTTGGGTCCATTATTCGTCATTTTTAATGATGTTACCCCTTTCCAAATTTTCAAAAATTGGGTTTGCAGAAAAGTGTCCAAAAACTGCACATCTAAGCCCATAACTTTTCTTACAGACATCCGATTTCTAAATGGCATACTTTAAAATGATCGTGGTTTGATTCCCTAAAAATCTGCGTTTTTTCTTTTTTTTTTTTTTTTGGGTCCATTATTCGTCATTTTTAATGATGTTACCCCTTTCCAAATTTTCAAATATTGGGTTTGCAGAAAAGTGTCCAAAAACTGCACTTCTAAGCCCATAACTTTTCTTACAGACATCCGATTTCTAAATGGCATACTTTAAAATGATCGTGGTTTGATTCCCTAAAAATCTGCGTTTTTTCTTTTTTTTTTTTTTTTTGGGTCCATTATTCGTCATTTTTAATGATGTTACCCCTTTCCAAATTTTCAAAAAATGGGCTTTGCAGAAAAATAGTCAAAAAACTGCACTTCTAAGCCCATAACTTTTCTTACAGACATCCGATTTCTAAATGGCATACTTTAAAATGATCGTGGTTTGATTCCCTAAAAATCTGCGTTTTTACTTTTTTTTTTTTTTTTGGGTCCATTATTCGTCATTTTTAATGATGTTACCCCTTTCCAAATTTTCAAAAAATGGGTTTGCTGAAAAGGGTCCAAAAACTGCACTTCTACTCTCATAACTTTTCGTACAGACATCCGATTTCTAAATGGCATACTTTAAAATGATCGTGGTTTGATTCCCTAAAAATCTGCGTTTTTACTTTTTTTTTTTTTTTGGGTCCATTATCCGTCATTTTTAATGATGTTACCCCTTTCCAAATTTTCAAAAAATGGGTTTGCAGAAAAGTGTCTAAAAACTGCACTTCTAAGCCCATAACTTTTCTTACAGACATCCGATTTCTAAATGGCATACTTTAAAATGATCGTGGTTTGATTCCCTAAAAATCTGCGTTTTTTCTTTTTTTTTTGTTTTTGGGTCCATTATTCGTCATTTTTAATGATGTTACCCCTTTCCAAATTTTCAAATATTGGGTTTGCAGAAAAGTGTCCAAAAACTGCACTTCTAAGCCCATAACTTTTCTTACAGACATCCGATTTCTAAATGGCATACTTTAAAATGATCGTGGTTTGATTCCCTAAAAATCTGCGTTTTTTCTTGTTTTTTTTTTTTTTGGGTCCATTATTCGTCATTTTTAATGATGTTACCCCTTTCCAAATTTTCAAAAAATGGGTTTGCTGAAAAGGGTCCAAAAACTGCACTTCTTAGCCCATAACTTTTCTTACAGACATCCGATTTCTAAATGGCATACTTTAAAATGATCGTGGTTTGATTCCCTAAAAATCTGCGTTTTTACTTTTTTTTTTGGGTCCATTATCCGTCATTTTTAATGATGTTACCCCTTTCCAAATTTTCAAAAATTGGGTTTGCAGAAAAGTGTGCAAAAACTGCACTTCTACTCTCATAACTTTTCCTACAGACATCCGATTTCTAAATGGCATACTTTAAAATGATCGTGGTTTGATTCCCTAAAAATCTGCGTTTTTACTTTTTTTTTTTTTTGGGTCCATTATTCGTCATTTTTAATGATGTTACCCCTTTCCAAATTTTCAAAAAATGGGTTTGCTGAAAAGGGTCCAAAAACTGCACTTCTACTCTCATAACTTTTCTTACAGACACCCGATTTCAAAGTGGCATACTTCAAAATAATCGTGGTTGGATTCCCTAAAAATCTGTGTTTTTAGTTTAATTTTTGTTTTTTGGGTCCATTTTCGTCATTTTCAATGATGTAACCCCTTTCCAAATTTTCAAAAAATGGGTTTGCAGAAAAATAGTTAGAAAACTGCACTTCTACTCTCATAACTTTTCTTACAGACATCCGATTTCTAAATGGCATACTTTAAAATGATCGTGGTTTGATTCCCTAAAAATCTGCGTTTTTACTTTAGTTTTTGGTTTTGGGTCGATTTCCTCTTAAAATGTGTAGTTTTATTCCCTTTCAGTATGCATTTTTGTTAGTTTACCAGTATCAGTATTTTCAGCCCCCAGTAAATATTCAAAAATATGTTCTGCTACATATGCCAGCGAAAATAACTCAATGAGCTGAGTTTCGGAAGGTAAAACATTTCATGATTTAACTGAGGTTAACCTAGCTAAGAATGTTGACTCTCCCTTTGTATTCCAACATCACCATAATGTTATGGTTAATTATCTAAAAAATGTATTATAAACTCTTCTACAAGAATCCATAAATCATCTGTTTTCCTATAAAATCCAACGATTTTCACCATGATTATACCCTAATAAGGTCAGTAATATTCAGAGGATTGCCCGGGCTGAGGTGACCCCGATCCGTACCTGTGGTGGAGGTGGCTCCCAGGTGGAGTCGTCGCTTGGCCAGCAGGGGATTGATCTTCCTGGGCGCGGGGGCGGGGGCTGCGGCCGCCTTGGGCTTGGCCGCATCAGTCTTGTGCGTAAGGGCGTTGAGGCGTGGCCGGGCCTTGAGGCGGTTCAGCCCGGAAACGGGGGCGGCGGGAGCGGGGGCGGCGGCATCGCTCGCCTCGCTGTTCGCCTTCTCACCAGCCTCGCCGCCCGCCGACTCCTCCGCCTTGACGTCATTGTGATGGCTACTGCTATCGGCGGCCGAATCCTCAGCCGCTGGCGACGATTCCTTGGGCACCTCCGTGCTGACTCCCGATCTTCCCAGCTTTCCGCGGGGCAGCAGGCGGTTGCCGCCGGCCCGGTGAAGGTTGAAGCGGGACGGACGCACTGGCTCCGCGGGAGAGGCAGGAGCAGCTGCCGCGGACTTGGCCTCCTCGGAATTGGTGGTGGCACCTCCACTGGCCGCACCCTCGGCAGCCTCGGCACCGCCTTCTGCATTGGCGGGTGCCTTGGTGGTGGTGGTGCGACTGCGTCCACGCAGTCCCAATCCGGGGCGTCCTCGCAAGGTGGTGCGTGCGGTGGTTGACGAGGGGGCGGCTGATTCCGCGGGGGCGTCTCCCTCGGCGGGGGACTCCTCGCTGGGACGCTCAGTGGTGCTCGTGGTGGTGGAGCCGCGCAGGTTGAAACGGTTGCGAGCTAAATGTGGAAAGATGAGTGCCAATATAATATTATTTATATTTATATATACAAATAAATAAACTTTAATTTATAGTTAGATTAACGTAGTCTTAATAGCCTTATACTTTTTATTTACTCAGTAAATATTTACGTTAGTTGTATAACTCATTCACAAATAGGTATTTTTTCGAATTTAAAATGACTGAAGCTTAATCACACAAAATTTCCTGTCTTTATTTTTAACCAACTTAAAGTGACTTAAATTAACCGTGTGCAAAATTTGCAATACTTCAGTTAGTGCTTTCAGTTCACATGGAAATTATAACGACGAACGATTTAAAATTTACTTTCCCTCAAATTTAATTTAAGGCTTAAGCGTTTTGCTCTTGACCCAGTTTATAAAAAGTCATTGGTAAAAGCTGAAGGCTAAATGCTAATGACCGATTACTAAAATGTTTTGTTTAAAATAAACTTGATATAATCAGTTTAGTAAGATTACAATGACTATGACTATTTTTGGTGGTGCAAGCTAGTTAAAAAGAATTAGTGAAAAGATGTTAAATTAACAATGTAAAATCGTTAACATATTAGTCAAAGCTTTATAAATATTTATGAATTTATGAAAACCATGTAGATTTTGAGCAAGATCAGAAATGCTTTTAAAGAAAACTAGTTTGGTAGTTCATTTCTATATCGAATACTCACGTCTGCCTCGTGCGAAACCCGTGCTCACGGGCTTCACTTCCTTGGCGACCACCACCTCCTCCTCGGCGGCAGGAGCTGCAGAGGATGTGACCTCCGGTGCTGCGGTGGTGCGAGCTCCAGGACGAGAACGTCCTCCGATTGAGGGCCGCGAGAAGCGATCTATGGGAGTAAACAAGTATTAATGTCTAAACGATGATCGTAAATGAGTCTGCACTCTGTATGATAAGGCAATCTTTTATTATGATTTTCGGTTATCTTCCTTATTTAATGAAGAAATAGAATTCCTAGGCTTTTTATTGTAAAATCATTAAAGCATTTACTAATGATAGAACGTGGAACTTCGGGTCTTTTTTTATAAAATATATCATATAAAATAAATACTCCTTTAACCATAAATTCCAATAGTCAGAGTAAGTTGACAAAGAGATTTCAGTGATATTTTAATTAAATATATAATATTATATATATGTTACTCTTCTAATCTTTTGACCATAGATTCCAACAATCAGCTTAAAATGACAGAGAGATTCCCATGATGGGAAGTGACCTGTCCTCGAAGTCCCTTTATAATTATAATTTATATAAAGTACACTTACTTCTGCCAGTCTTGGTGGTTTCGGTGGCTGGTGCCTCGGTGGTGCTGGTGGTGGTGCTGCCGCCCTCGGCCCTGTTCAGCTTGAAGCGGTTGCGTCCGGCCAGACCATTCAGTCCCGACCTCCTGCCGCCGAAAAGCGAAGGAGCCGCTGTGGTAGTGGTGGTGGTCGTTGTGGTGGTGGGCGCCTCCGTGGTGGTTGTGGTGGTGGTGGTGGTGGTCGTGGTGGTGGTGCTGCTGGTGGAGGAGACCTCATCGGTGAGCGTGGTCAGACTGCCGGCCTCATCCTCATCCGTGCTGGCGGTGTCCGGTGCGAAAGTGGTGATGCCCTCAGCTCCCTCGGCATCTGCGATGGCGGTGGTCTGCTCGTTGTTGAGGTTCTCGTTGGTCAGAATGGCGTACAGATCGAGGGCGGCCTTTTCCATGGAGGGCGTGGTCTGCTCGGACTCCTCCTGATCGGCCGCTGGCACTTCGGCCTCCTTCTGCTGCTCCTTCTTGGCCTGCTCCTCCTTGGCCTGCTGCTCCTGCTTCTTCCTGGCCGCCTCCTCCTGTTCGATGGCAATCACTGGTTTCAGTTCGTTCTCACCTCCCTTGCGGGTGGCCTTGGTCTGCTTCTCATCCGTGTTGAAGGTGGCACTGTCCACCAACTCCAAGCTGGGTCGCTTCACACTGATCTTCTTGCGCTCGGCGGCCGTTTCCAGGGAATCGAGGGCGGGCGTGGGTGGCACCTCCACGTTCTTGCCACGACTGGGGAACCTGGTGTTCATGGGCAGGCGTTCGGCCTCGATGTCCTCGGAGGCGTCGGAGGATCTGCCCTTGGCCTTGCCACTCTGCAGACTGTTCTCACTGGGCGTGGCCGGCGTGCTCCTCTCGATGTTCGTGTACCTGGTCTTGCCACGCACCTCGGGCTCCGCAGAGGCCTCCACTTTGCTGGGCTCCTCATCCTCCTCGTAGTAGTAGACGTACTCGTACTCGTAGTCCTGGCCATTCGGTCCCTTCTTGATCTCGATGCGGGACTTCTTGTTGTTCTCACTGCCCGCACCTTCCAGGGCGAAGTTCTGATTGACGAACTCCTCGTGCGGATCCACCACGATGTCCTCGTCCAGGTTGTCGATCTTCTTGGCGGCCGTGGGCAGGGTGGTCAGCAGTGGAGCAGGTGCCTCCGTGGTGGTGGAGGCCCTCTTCTGGGCCAATTCCGCTTGAGCGGCCTCCTCGATTTCACGCTTCACCTCGGCCAGCTCCTCCTCTTCGATGGCCCTCTTGGCCTCGATGCTCTTCATCACATCCTCGTTGATCAGGGCACTCAGCACGGGATTCAGCTCGGGACGCTCCTTGGTGGGCAGCAGGTTCATCGAATAGTCGGCGGAGTCCGTGGCCCTAATGCTGATCCTGTGGGAGGTGCGGAAGCCCTCCTCCCGCTCCACTGCGTCGGGATGTTTGTGCGAGGTCTCGAAGGGAATCGTCTCCTCGGTCAACCTAACTTGACTCTCGCTGGCCGAAGTCGAAAGGGGATCCGCTGAGTCTGCCGAGGATTGGGAGGCCAGAAAGGCCAGGAGGAAACTGTTTGGGAAAAATAAGAATATGGAATTAGAATGATTAAAAGTATTGATCGCAAATCAAATTAAATTCTATAGCCGGATCTCCCCAAACAAAGCTTAGAAATACACTCTTTTTCTGCCTTTCCTTTCATCAGCTTAAATATTTATTTAAGTATTTATTCGATGCATTTAACCAAGTTGGTTGTAAAATTTACTCTCATCCAAACGGACATTGGCTTAATTATTTTTGAAACTCAACTAAGACAACTGCCAAGCCATATCATTAATAATTTGATTTGAAATTAATTTGAGAGTAATGAGCTTATTTAACTTGCCAGAGATTTTCTCTTCTGGCTTGACTTTAATAGCTTAAGTGCCGGCTCTGTACTATCAGTGCCCCATCTTAATTATTGACTCTGTACATTCAGCCATGTCTTAACCAATTAATCTTACACTTCAACCCAACTCCTGAATACTGTACTCTTAAGTCAAGGTACTTTAGCTATCCCGAATATCTAAATACCTTTTTTTAATGTTTCTTTTGATTATTAATGAGCTTGCAGTAGCTGCAGTAACCATTTATAAACCAAAACCATAGCAATTTTTTTGTTCGTCGCAATGGGTACTCCCCGAAGTGTTGTTCAAGGTTTGACTTATGATTTCGATGTTTTTAACTATTGTCCAAGCTAAATGTATTGATTTTCACAATACAATTGTTATCTACAAATTAAATAGATGATTTAGCAGTTATTTTCAGAGTTAAGTTCAACACAATTTTTGTTTTCACTTCAGTTTTTAAATATTTATTTATTTTAATATGTTATTTGATATCTTTATGTATTTAGCATGAAAATGTCATAAGGAATGATATATTACATATAGAATATTTTCAAAAAAAATTATTATAATGTTGACGAAAGGGAATATATATGGTATTATGTAGGGTATTAACCAGTTCGTGAGACTCTGCGTGGCCTTTCTTTCTGGCTTGTGATTGGCGCGTGCTCCTAATCAGCCACCACGGCTAGCCGGTTTTTAGTTGGCTTTTCAGCTTTTCAGCCTTTCAGCTCCATCTGGCGATCTTCGATGTGCTGCCTCATCTCTAATCTGGCATGAAAAACCTTTCACAATTTCATTAGCAACACAAAGTCGATTGCGCATGCGATCATGATTTGGCCATCATGTCTAGCCGTTGAATGGAGCGTGCACCACCGGCTATATGGCTGTATGGCTGTATGACTATATGGCTGTATGGCTATGTAGCACTACCGGCACCACCATCACACAATAGTTCATTGGGCTCTGCGAATCCGCATTGCAATGCAATGAAAGCGATGCTCAAGGCGAACCGCAAAACGGTTCCAAAACCACCGGGAAACTAGAGCCAGGAATCGCGAACCGGTTTTCCACACAACCAACAACAAAAAACAAAAGGTGTTAACCCATTTCGATTCCAGACCAGATCAAACCAGATCAGAGGTCCCCAGTAATACGTTTTTAGGTTTCAGGCATTGGCAAAGCAAAAATTATGTTATTCAGTTCTTAGAAAAAAAAATGTTAATTATTGTTTCATTTGAATACTTTATATTGGGACTATAAATCTTCAAAAGCTTTAACCATTTAATTTTTTCCAATATTTTTTTTTCAATAATAAAACTTGAAATACTACAATTTATCCTTGTTATGTGCCACTATTAAATCCATTTTAATTCCATAACAATTGTTAAGCTTTGATATTCAGGGGCCAACTTTTTTTCCTGTGCATGCGAACAGAGCGCTCTTGACGATAACTTTTAACATTTTGAATTATGTGCAAGTCTGGCTAGCTGGCGTTCACTTCTCGAACAAGTTTTCGGGGACTAGCAAACAGCCAGCAACCAACAACCAACAACCAAACAACCAGCAACATGGGCTGGCAACACCTTACTGCAAAGGTAGACAACTTCAACTTATTTTAATTGCAACAGCCCCAAAAACGGGCAGCTCAACAATGGCGAAAAGCCATAAGTCTGTGACTTTAAGAAAAGTTATAATTATGGCCACATCGTGGTGCATACTGGTGGTGCAGTGGTACAGTGGTGCAGTGGTGCAGTGGTGTCTCCTCGGACCAAAGGGTCTCTCGGTGGTTGAGCCATGTCATGCATGAGGTGACAATGCGCACACCGCTCAGCACATTATATATACTATATTCCCATTCACAATTGCAGTAATCGCAGCCAAATAATATCCTACATTTTGTGCTTAGTAGCTTAGACTACCGATTGGAATCTTTTCAATACCAAAATAAAGTTAAAGGAACATTAAACAGACTACATTGCGAATTTGTCTTTTAGGAAACGCTTTAGTCACAAGGTGCAAAACTAAAATACTATTTATTAGTACCAACCACGTGCAAATATATTAGGACTTCTCTGAAGTGACTAATTAAATGTATAAATATGCTTCCACAATGCCAGAGACCATTGCCTTGATATAGTTAAAACAAAAACAAAAAAAACCAAAATTACTAATTAACTTCTTACTCGATTTCAATCATGTTTCTTGTCCGAAACTCACGTAAATTCCCGCCGTTTATTAGCTTCAATTAGTTGTTCAGACATAATCTGTTAATGACTCACAAAATGTGTAAATCGAATTCCAAAGAATCATTTGCACTAATTCATGGCAGGATTGCCTTGACTTGGATTGCAATTAAACACCTTCAACAAAATTCGATCATTTAATGCCAGTTTTTCGAGCATTTAACGGCATTTACTGACTACTTTAAGCGGTTAAATGATGGAAATTAACTAGGTTTAGTGATGACTTTAAGTCTTTAATTGCTACACTCTGAGAAAATTCAATTACTCATCAATAAAAATTGTCTAGTGCTTCTGTTATAGATTTATAAAAGAAAATAATAGGAAATAATATAATATAATATATATAATATAATTGTGCAATATAAATTATTGAAATCTGAAAGAATTAGGCTTAAAAGATGATTCCTAAAATAATATTTATATATTTTTGCAAGCATTTTGGCCATTTTATAATGTTGTGTAATTTAATCAGCATCATGTAAAGTAGTTTAAAGCTTTGCTAAAAAATGTAATTATTGGGGAGTGATTTATTACCCTCCCATGGTTTCTCTGAGTGCACTGTTACCGCTGTTGTTGTTATAACTTTTTAGGTGTATTTAGCCCTCATGTGGGTAACTCCACTCCCAATCTTTACCCCTTGTGGCCCATTGTCTTTCTTTTCTTTGGCGCTGCACTTCATGCAACGTAAAAAACACCGTGGAAAAGGAGTGTTGCTCATTTTTGTTTGCAGCTTTTAGCGGGTGTGGCATGCAATTTGTATTATAATTTGGCAATTCATTTTGGCCAAAAACGGGAGAAGAAATATATCTGCGAGTGCTTTTTAGCTCCAGCTTTGGATTCGGAATTTGGTTTTCGGTTTTTTAAACTTCGGCGGCCATTGACGTTTTTGAGAGGTAGTGAAGCGGTGAAAAGACAGTTGAAAAAAAGAAAAACTACTAAATCGACAGCAACATTTGCAGCCATGAAATGTAAAGTAAGTTTTGCATTGTTAAGTGGATGCGTCTGCGTCTTTGCCGAAAGGTCTGCTCACTTCACCTCTAGCAATTGTGATTTTTCCCCCACATATATAAATGTATATGTTTTTTCTGCATAGTTGACCTTTCCGAAAGAGAGATCGCGGCACCTCGCCGGTTTGACCTTTTGCAAAAAAAAAATACAATGAAAAGCATCATTACCACACCTTCATCATGCATATTAACCCACTGATTGACTAACTGCCAGAGTGATTGAACAAGGTTAACAATCCTCTGGGGGTAACATTCGGAATAGCCACTTGGCGTATACTTGATTTTATTTAAACCATTTAAAACATAATTATACAATATGATACCAAAGATCTTCAAATGTATATTTAATTGCTTAATAAAATATTATTAAAAAAAATAACTTATAAATATTAAACATTTTTAAATTTAGGCCCAATAATACAAGTATTTCTATGAAAAGAGATCGTTCCCAAGGGGAGTTAATAACAAACGTTATGATAATACCATAATAGCAACTAATAAACCCTAAAAACTTTGCGTAATTCGCTAAATCGTTAACTTGACCTTGAGAGGCGGCAATTATTTCCCTTCAGCCCCCTTACTCTAAAAAATGTGTATTATTTTTCTTGATATTTCTTCAATTTACTTACATTTTGAGCAGCATTTTGAGCTGTTTTTGTTTTTGTTGTAGTTGTGGCTCCTAGGTTGCTCTCCTTGTTGCTGTTATTGTTGTTGTCAATGCTGTTATATCAACTTTTTCATTAACTGCTTTTTTACATAAATTTTATTGACACTTTTGAAAGTCAACTGCCTGCTTCAGCTTCAACGAGAAAACAAAAAAAAAAACAAAACAGTAAAAAAATGGGTGTAAAAATAAATAAACAGAGTGTACAAATTGAATGACAGAAATTGATTTTTCCAAAAATCTTTAATTGTTATGCGTTTTGGGTTTTGTGTGTGTTTTTAAACATTGAACACATTAGCTTGTTGTTGTTGTTTAGTTGCTTTTGTTGATGTTGTTCACTTTGGTCATTTTTTCGAGTTGCACTTTCACTTTTCACTTTTATTTTACGTTTTGCACACTATTTTTGGTTGTTTGTGTTGTTTGTTTTTTCAGCAACAGAAAATTGAATCAATTAGGGAAATCAATTTTTGCATTGGATAGTGTGATGTGATGTGTGCGGCTTAGCAGGGCAATACAAAAACTAAAATAAATCTGCGAAAAAGTGTGTAAAAACTTCTTGCAACTATTATTAAAACTTAAAAAAAAACTTGGAAAAAAAATGTATTTTTTACAAATGCACTTTTTGCCGCTTTCCGGCCTTTTTCGGGCTCAAGTTTCGACTGGAGTTTGATTTCTTTAGCCACTTATAGCTCTTATTTTATATGGCCAACCAACACACACACACACGCACACACACACACACCTGCCGGGAGGATATGTTGGCAGTAGTACCATGGACTTTTGCTGAAGACCTCTCTATATGTGTTTATATATATCTTGGGTCTTCGGGGAGCAGTCACTTTCGATTTCGCTGCCAGCTGAACGTGAAATGGCAAAATGATGAACGCTCCAACCATCGAAAACCGTTGCCGTTGCCATTCTGCCGCCGCCGACTGCGGCAGAGCAGCGACCGCGGCAGAGGCTTCCACTTCCACATCGACTTCAACTTCGGCTTTAACATATCACTAACATCGCGGATCGGGGGTCTTGACTGTGCGAACGAGAGGGCGCGAGAGAGAGAGGGCGCGAGAGGAGCGCAGAACGATCGACAGGAGCGGTGTTTTTTTGGGTACGGCCATGTTAACACTAAATCATTCACACCTGCCGCCGATCGTTGTTGCTTTTCAATGGCGTTTGGCCACTAGGAAGTTCAAAACTGCACTAGTTTCGATGGACCGGAGAGGCAGTCCAAAGCAACAACAAAGCAAGTCCACACAGAGAAAAGAAATAACGATTTGCATTCTTCTTTTCTAAAAAATATGCTTAGGAACAGGATCAAAGGAATGGATGGAAAGCAACGACCTGAAAACAAATAAGCGGCCTTAAAAAGAAGTCAATATTTGAAAAGTTAATCATTCCCTCTATACTTTAAAATATCGCGACTGTTTTATAGTATTTCATCTTAAATTGAAAAATTAAGATTAAAAATAATTTGTTTCTTATTCACTAAATGACTATATTTTAAAATTGTGTAGGTTTTTTAACTTTTATTCAAAAATTAAAATTAAAAATTTTGATATTTTTGACAGGAGGAATTGTATTCTTTTAATAATGATTTTATATTTTACAAAAAAAGTGTAGTCTTATAGATATGCTCCATAAAATTGGGATAGTAAAAAGAAGAGGAGAATAACTAAGACGTCAATTTGAAAACCGATACGGTTATGTTTATGATTTTTTCTTTGTGCAGCATCGACATTCACTTGCATTTTTTGGGATGCTCTCTGGCCGCCTCGGTCTCAGTTAACTGCTGCTGATTTCATAAGCCAAAACTGGTTGGCAGCTGGTCTCAAGGCCGTTTGTTCGTTCGTCGTCGTCGTCGTCGTCGTCGTTGATTAACCGCATTACACATACGCCGCGTTGGCCGCAGTGGCCGCTTTTTTAACCGCTTCGCCTGCAATTAGCAGGGCACGCAACATGCTCGTATGCAAGCCAACCATCAGATCATCACCCCGGTTTCCCCAGTTTCCTCAGCCTACCCCGCCCGCCGCAGATATTATCCAATCTGAGGAGCTTATTGATTAACCGTTGCTCATTTGCTTACCGAGTATTTATGCAATTCCAGCAGCGCGATCTCCAACTGGCCAACTGGATGCCCCACAGTCGGGGATATATCGTTAGTTTGGGTACGAAACTGCGAAAGGTGGGGCAAAAAGCCACCTGCGAACCAAAAGCTCGCACAAGTGTCATACTGACACATTTCAATCGCCATCCAGGTTTTGGAGGGTATAACAACTGATTCACAATGCCTCCTTTCAGTTAAGTTATGTTCATCCAGGTGTAATTGCATACAAATTACTAATTAGCTTATCTCACATTTTTAAGAACTTTGGGTGCCGAAATATTCTCGATGACCCATTTTTGTAAGCTGCGAGTTCTTAAGCTTGAGGAAAACAATTTTGAGCATGGTAAATCTTCATTTCAAAGTTTAAAAAAAAATATTTTTTATCTTTGTGTGCGAATATTTAAGAACTGAGAACTGAAATGCTCTTTTTAAAAACAGATGTGGGGTATTTTGTAGTCGAGATGCTTGATAGGCAGTTCCCTTTTTTCCATATATTTCTGCAGTTTTTAGTTGGGCTTCAGTTACGGCTTGAAATTGGTTTGGTAATCCCCACAAAGTGGTTAAAATCAACCTATCTCTCTTTCTCTCTTTTACTATGTCATCTGTCTTTTTTTTGTTTGTTTACTTTGCGAGTGATTGATCAATCGATTTTCTAATTAGCATTGATCGATAAACTGGAACGCAAAAGTTTTTTTTTTTATCAGGTGCTCTTTAGTTTGCTTGCTCCCCTTTTTTTTTTGTTGGTTTTCTTGCAAATTCGATTATATGATAAGTATTTGCAAATACAAAAAGGGGCAAGCAAAAGTGCCTAAAAGCTTCCTTCTTTGCAACGGGAGTGCAGCGAACCGGGAAGTGATCCTGAGTGCCACTCATGCCATACATGTGCATAATTAAGGGATCCTTGGGTACTTTTGGTTTTGTGGCCTTGGTTTTTCCCCCAGCACTTTTTGCAGCAGCTGCCTGGACTGATTGAATTTCAAGAGATCGTCTTTTGGGAATATAAGTATAAGTGACTCAAGCTATGCCGAGGTCACGTTGATCAAGTTACCCGGGCACATTGCTATGGATGCCACGATACGGACATAAAAACCCCAGCTAAAAACTGCATGAAAATGGCTAAAAGATAAAAAACAAAAAAGAAAAAAGAAAACCAAGTTTTGATCGAGGGAAACAGGATGCATTTCGTGGGGAGCGCCTCGAGGTCAGAAGTCGAGTTTTCGATGGCCGTGCGTGGCACCTGGGGCGGTGTCTCAAGGACGGAGTCTCAGGAATAAAAAGATATAATGATTGATAATTATGGCGATTGCAATGGCTATGAGTAATGTCTGGGAATGAGCAATTTGGTAATTGCATAAGACAGAAAAAATGGAACAGAATTCAAAGGGAGAGTCGTCAAAGTTGCCAGCACTTAATTTAAAGGGGAACACGGAAAATTGGACTTTTAAGTAAAAGAATTATGGAAAGAGGCAACTCTTAGTTTATTTAAACATATTATGTAAGAAAAAAAATTTAATAGATTCATGTCTTAAAATTTTATTTAACTTAAATTGGCAACAGTGTTTCTCTGTTGAACCTGAGATTGCCAAGCTCAAAATTAAAAATTTAATTGCGAAAATTGAATGAAAATTAATGTTGTAAGCCCAAGATCACACATTTAAGAGCATTAACCAAAAGCCAAGACCGATGACATCACAAAGCCGCTTTTTCAGCCTCTTGCTTTTGCCAATTCACGGGCCGAAAAATAAAGAAAAAATACCCTACACCCGGTACCATTTCAAAGGAACACAAAACAGGGAGATAAAAACACTTCAGGTACTGACTCTTTTATGTATTGTAAAAAACTCATAAAATTGTAATAAAAACAAAACCAGCGGAGGGGAGAAAAAAGAAAAGAAACAACAACTGTTATCCAACATTTCAAGTGTTCGAGAGAGTATATATATATATATAGGTATATATATCTGCTATGTGTGGCCATATCTGCATACAGATGTACGCAAACAGGAGTGGCCAACTTGGAATGTTAATGCGGGCTGCAGTCGTTGGCGTCGGCGAGATCTCCGATCCCCGATCCACTCCAAAACAAAAAAAAAAATATTTAAAAAAAACACTTGCACGTAGGCCCAGTTGTCGCTTCATCTCTTTCGCACGCCATCTACCCGTCTCTTCCTTGGCTTCAGGTGATGTCTCTTTCTACCGAGGAGAGTTACGTGAACTTTGAAGGGAGCTGAGGGTGATAACTGACCGGCAAACTGAACAAGAGCCAAAAGAATTAACTACTACACATTAAAAAAGTCTTATTAGTTTTTAAAATTGTAAACATGTTTTCACTGCAAAAAAAATAGATATTTTTCTTAATTTATCTAAAGTATTTCCCAGGTAACATTGATTTGTAAAAACCCAAGCATTATAAAAAAGTTTTTTTAGCTATCCAAATGTTTGTTAAAAAACTCTTGTACTTCAGTTCTGAACAAACAAATGTTTCTTGATAATAATATTTTTTCTAGTGATCTTAGATTTTTTCATATTTTGTTACCTTAGATTTTCCTCAGTATATATCTGCTATCTTTTTCTCAGTTTTTCTTATATTTTCAAACTGGGCGCGCATGTTGAGCCGAGTAAAATTTATAACTGTCAATTATTATGCAAGAGTGGTGTGTGTATGGTGTGGCGGGGGCGGGGGCGGGGGGCGTTGAGTGTGCGGGAAGGGCGTGGCAGGGGCAGAAGAAGGAGTGAGGGAGACTCCTCTCGCAGAGCAATCAGGAAATACCAAAGGTTTATGGCTATAAACACCTCCCTCGGCCGCACAAAAGCAACCACTCGTATAATCTGGACACGTAGTACCCCCAAATTCGGTACTCCTCACCTGTAGATCCATGCAATGAATACTTCTTCATCAGACAGAACTTTTTTCACCGCTTCTTTCTTCGTTCTTTTTTTTCTGGATTTTATCATTTTATGTTGCGGGTAATGAAAATATTTTTAATTTTTGTTCCCCCGATTCTTTTTATATTTCTCCAGCTTTTGAGGAGTGTCGCCGGGAGTTCAATGCACGTCAATCGTTGGCCTTTCAAGAGAACGCCTGCGATACGTGAACAAAAACTTTGCAATAACCATGCCGATCATAAAGATGTTCATCATGATCATCATGATGGTTTCCATGTAGGCTGCAATTAAATGATTCACTTGGACAATATTTTTTCGTCGAGAACCTTTAATTGTTTTAAGTTTCTGTGACCTTCCCGCAATTTCCGGCTTGAGTATAGATACATATATGGATTTTATATATTATGTGCCGAATAGTTTTTCACGTGCATAATAATGTATAATGAAGCGTGAATCTGAAGAGCAAATTCATCGCGATCATTTGTCTTTTTGGTGGGCAGAAATCAGTGGGTGGATGGCATTTCCTTATTTGCCGTGATATGGAAATCAAGTTGAACATTTAACAAGCCATTAAAGTTCAACGATTTGTCAAGCTGCTTTTGATGGTTGTTTTACTCTTGACTGCACTATGATATTATCATTGAACTTAAAGTTTATTTTCAGGAAGAGATTTGAGTTGAATAACAAAATCCTTCTTGATTATTAGAATTGTATTCGAATAAATTATTTAAGATTTTAAGAAGTACAATGTTAAATTATAAATTGCATAAAAATGCATCAACTTATAGAGGTACGCCTTTTTCACTGCCAATCATTTTACTCATTTACTCAATGTTGAATCTTCAACATTTGTCCGTCTAATTTGCACACG